TTCTTTCTATTTTCTCGATATAACAAAACTACGGTTATAGGGGGTTCTGATATCATAGATAGGATCGTAAGTCGATTTAATGCCACGTCTAACGTATGCCATAAATCATACGCAAAGATATAAACGTTTGCCGTAACGAGCGCAGAAACATTAATCTGCCAGGTTCATGGTGATATACGTGTTGACCAGGTATTTTCGAATAAAATCGATAACTGCAACGCGCGATTCGTGTCACGCTTCGAAAAATTTTACGCATTTGTGATGAGAAAAAAGCTTCGACACACACATTTCATTTACCTATAAATAGTATATAACGTAATATTTATTATTCTAACAATTATTACTCGTTTGTAATTGCGGATCGTTGTATGTGTACATTTTTCAATAATCCTTCACCTATGTAATAGATAATCGTACCGCGCATATCAAAAACCAATGAATAAATTATTGACAATCTTTAACGCGCGTGCTATCGTTTTATTACTGTTTAATTACATTCCGTGGATTATTTGTATTCCTTCTCTCTTTCTCTCTAACAAAGCGCATAATGCATTCTCGAAAACTCGATAAAAACGCGTTCTATAGATTCACGATACCGAGGCACTTTTAGAAAATCTCACCTGTCGTGGGAGAGATATCCCAGGTGGTAGCGAAGAAACATATAGAAGAGTACTCGAATGTCGCACCGGATCTCTCGATACGTCTACGTGACAGCGCGCTAGATATGCGTCGGAAACAGGTATCGACAGAAATGCAGCTGCATCGCGGCAGCGTCCGAATATACAGCAAAATATGCGATATATAACGTTAGAAACTTTCATAAGGAGAATGGAGAGCTCTACGGAATTCATTGAATATAGAGGAAACGTCAGAAGTCACGCAATTTCCGTCAAGCGGAGCTTCGATTGAAGAGAGAGAGAGAGAGAGAGAAAGAGAGAGGAAAGAGAGAGAGAGAGAGAGAGAGAGAGAGAGAGAGAGAGAGAGAAGCTGTTTTTCATATAATTAAAATTTTCTACTATTATTAAATATTGTATACATAATATACTGTATCAATTTTATATCCATGACGCACGCTTGGCAAACTTATTCGCGTGCAATTTCGCAATTTCCCCCGACACTCGAACCAGTTGAGGCAACTTCCCGTTTTTAATATAGAATATTCATAATATTGTTGGAGTAAATTCATCTAAAGAATATTTTTACAGAAACATACAATTATTCTCTATTTTCAGGGACATTTTTATAGCAAGGATAACGCGTTCACTGCAATATGCAACGTATTTCTCGCGCATAAAAAGTTTCTTGCTTCTAATAAAAATATATGGAGAGATATTTCACGAAAACATTTCCGCGATACTTACGCATTGAAGAGATCGCAGCGAGCGAGTTAAACTGCTGAGTCCGGCGTGAATAAGGAATCGGAGTATATAGAGGAACAAGAAGCTTGTCGCGCTCGTATTTTATTGGGGACCGAGGGTAAAATTCCACCGGCTGTCGCTAATCCTGGGAAATACCGAAATGCGAAGCTCTCGCACAGACTTCGGGCGAGAGAAGCTTCTGGTTTCGTTCCTGGACACACGATGCCGAGAACGAGCGCGACAGCCGGAAGGCTTTCAGTTACGATCGAGCGGAATGTCAACGAGAGAAAAAGTCCATTTGTATATAGAAGTTGCACCGCCAATGCGTTGCACCATTTTGCGAAATGCCTCGTAGAATTTATCAAATGTATGAAAATTTTTATTTAGCGCGTTCCGAAAAAAAAGAATATCAACGCTTCGAATATTCAAAGTCGATGTTTTTCGAAAGACAATTTTTACTTCAATTGTAAGTCTATACACAAACGATAAATTCAATAAAGATCTATTGTTGTTATTTTTTTAAATGTTCCGTGAATTCTTTTTAACAATTATTACTTTGATATCTTTTCTTTAAGTACGCCGACTTGAAATAATAGAAATAAAAAGTATTTTAATATCGAGTCTTTTCTCTCGTAATTATTCGATTGTTCTTATGAGATGAGAAACAATATAATTGTGCGTGTAATAAATTTTATTCATTTTTTATAAATTATCTTCTGAATCTTTACTTTCAGCGTTTTATTTCATAAAATTCAATACAAAAATAAATTTACGGCGAACGAGAACGTAATAATTCTTTCTGGAAAATGATTCTCCGCGATAATCTATAAAGATCTCGACATCGTTGCGACACGATTTTCCTGCTGAATACATGAATCGGTGAAGCTAATAAAACAGCAAAGCGTGAACGAAGCGACTAGTAACGAGAAAAAAACTCATCGAGATCGGATTCTCTTGTAAGCTTTAGTCGTTCGATATAATAAGAATTAATTTTCTTATATGTGTTCTTGTGTCTTTATCAAGTGCGCATATTTTTGCATCTATTATTTCTATGTCTAATAATGCTTACGTAAAAAAAAACAAAAATTCAGCGTCACGAAACTATTTACTGTTCCCACAGAACTTTTTATTTTAGGAATAACAGAATAAAGAAATAACGGTTAAAAATTTTATCTTCTTTGCATTCTTTCGACCTTAGACTTTTACCATTATTTGTAAAGTAAGAATAAAATATTATTATCATTTATAGCTATAAACAAAATACAAAAACATTTTTACTTCTCATGTTTATCAAGATTACATTGATAACATAATTTATATAATTAATCAATAAACAATTCTCTTTCGATAAGTTTTTCCCTGTATTCAATATTCCTGTATTTTTTAAGAGAATCGATTTACTAATCGGCATTTTCTGTTCATGAACAAGATCCGAGAAGAAACGTTTACGACCTTGAAACAGGACAGAGATAAAATGCCCAGGCTGCTCCACTTTTCGTTGAAGACACGCGACCGTTAACTGAAACGAAAGGTTCGGCCGAAACTTTCTAACTACAGCGGCATACGAATGAAAAAGAATCTATCGACCACGAATAAATCGATATGCCTTGTGTGATGCAACGTCACGTTTAAAACAGCAGGCGAAAACGAAAGCTTGAGAAAGCTTGATTTTCCAAGATTGGAATTTCTTGAAATGCAAGTGTCATTAATTCGAACGCTTTTTTAACTCTTATATGTGTTTATAAATATCGCATTTAAAAACCTGTTATGTTATGGCTACGCGCTGAATTATTAGGTCAAGTATCAAATATGATACTTGACAAATAATATACAAATATATACAAATATATACAAATATATACATATACATATACATATATATATATATATATATATATATGTATTGATATTTAATATTTATGTATTAATAGCAAGAGATTTTCTAAAAATAAATGTTTTATGGGCATTTTCCGATATACAAGTGACGTGATCAATATTTTTACAAATAATATTAAAAATGTACGTATATATAATACGTATATGTTATTGCGCAATTATAAAATTAGTTTTTAATAACGCAAACTATAAATTTATTATTTTATATTTAAAAAGCATGATATTCTGCTTATTTTGGCTCGGTTAATTATTTTATTGCATTATCGAGCTGTGTTATTAAATGTTTTTATTGATTAATGTATATAAAACATTTCAAATGTAATATTTTAATATTCTATAATTTCTCAGTTTTCAGTTTAAGATCTTGTCCACGTGAAAGTGACGATTGGAATTCCCGCTTAACGAGTTCGCTGATAGTTATAGTTTATACATTTTTGATGAGACGGAAAAAGGTGCGGATGTAAAGTTCGTAAAGTTGAAATCGGTAACTTAGGCGGTAACGAAGACGACGCTACCGTAAAAAAACGGAAAAAACTACTTAGTGTCACTGATTCGAGACGTACCAGTAATTCATCCATAAATCATACGATCGTGACATGCATTCTTCTTGTCATTATGATACTCGTTTTAAACGTTGCCCGTCTTGTATCAGACATTATATCATTGAGAAACATGAATACATCCGAGATGAGACGTAACAACAAGATAAAAAGAACAAACATGAATTTTGTTTGTTAGCTGAGACACTATTCGGAATTGTAACTCAATTGATATAAAAAGCTTTCTCAATTCTTTGCAAATATCATTGTTTGACAAGGTCAAGACATTAGAAAACGAGACTCGGCTTCCAAAAAAATATATGTACCTACCTATAAGAATATGTGTGTGAAACGAATGTTGTATGTCATCAATCTATATGGTGTTAAATCAAATTAACAAAATTAATACGGCAATAGCTACATTCTTTAAATTGTTTACTAATGAAAAATTTTTAATCATAATAACTGGTTTGATTATTGAATCTCTAAAAGAATTTTTGATTCTAAAAACAATAAACTTATAGTGTAAATTTGCGTTAAAATATATTACCGTAAATCACGTAAAATTATCATAGGAAGCTATATTAGGATTAATATTTAATATTCTAATTAACGACATATTACTATTAGAAATGATTATCTAATAGCTAGATATAATTACAAAATTAATACGCAGTGTTAAATTCGGTCGATATACATTAACATATAACAGCATCATTTTGCAATTGCAATTTCAGTTAAAACATAACGTTGTGAGAGATTATCCTTCCACATTATGAAATTAATGCAAACACCGAAACTAGTACAAGCTTGACAAGTACTGTGCAAAATATAAATAAATATTTAGAAACAAAAGAAAAAGAGAGAGAAATATCCATCTCACTGATGATGTTCTTTTAACAACAATATCGTAATGATAAACATGTAACGTGCATAACTGTTGAAAATTTATAATAACAGTGAGTGAAATTTTAGACAGTTAATGAGAAAAAACATCGATTTCCATGTGTAATTACATATTTGTTACATTACACGTAACATAAATGCGAATGTTTTGAATATCCAGTGCTTGAACGTTTTTTTCACATGTTGTTCTTTGTGAATTTTTTTTGCATTTTTTTATATCAACTGCATATATATGTATGTAATTATAGTTTTAGCTTGCGTTATACACAGTGTGAAAATTTGTAATTAATTTAGTACTTACTCGTCTCGTTGCAGATTCGCGGATATCTACAAATTGAACTCAGCATCTTCGACGATCTTGAACGGTCCGAAGTTGCAGTCGTATGTTCAATCAGTGCAATTTATTAGCATGTCCAACAGCAATTCACTCGCGGCAACCGGTCGCGTCGATGAGAACGCACTTTCGCGAAATCGTCGCGAGATTTACACTCGATCGTTTCGAGAAACGAGAACAAGCGCGATTCACTCTCATGTGCGATACACTTTGATGTTTAGTAGCAGACTTGTTTTTAAAGTTACTCAAAGTCAAAATTCAAACGCGTCACGTGATTCGTTCGTTGTAGCCTATTGTTTATTACGTTCGACTTCGCGAAGGGTAAATCAAAGTCCTATTTTTGTTTACCAACTAAATAACCAAAATCGCAACAAAGAACGTCTGATATCGCAAGGACTACAGCGAACATATCGCGCGCGACTTTTTTAATTGTCACCGCGTTCGACCGTCTCACGAGAATGTCTCGTGAACGTACAGTCTCTTCCTTCAGCGAATGTCATTCACTCACCGAAATCTTCGCGTCTCTCTCCAAAAACGTCCTTCGAGAGTGTCCTTCGAAGCCACGAGGAATTGTTCGAGTGCGTATCTTTAACTAACACTACGCTAAAGCCTATTAAACACACTCGCGATTCGTCGTGAGTAATCGGAAGGATTCGGAAATGCGATCGCGAGTGTTCTGCGCCAAATTCAAGCGTATCACGTGACTCTCGCTCGCCAATCACGGTGGTCAGTTACAATTCAAAAATCGGATAGTATACCTTCTCGCATGTGTGTTTTTTTGATTATAATTGTACAGTGGATTCCCGGGAACGTGCTTTTGATTTACCGCACGTGTGTTTGCGGATTCGGTTTCACCTACGAAAGTGTGTGTACGGTATTTCTCGCGCACGTAACGTTCGCTTCGCGCAACAAAAAATCTTCACGAGGGCCGATGACAGCCGGCAATGCAAACGGTAACGTCGCTGAAGGACATGACAACGGAGAAACTTGTTACACGACACGACAGCGAAGGCGAGATACACGGCGGAATATCCGAAAATATCAGTCTTCTCGCGCGCGTGCACAGACGTTTGCCGTCAAAGGGAAGCAACGAGTAGCGGAGTGACGACCAGTTCCTGGCGCTGCTCCTGTTTCTCTCTGTCACCGCTCCTCTTTTTCTCTCTTTCTCCTTCTCTTTCTTTGTGTGTAACTTCGCGGCGGGTTGTGTCACGCGAAGACTCACTTCGAGACTATGTCTCGCGAGAACCGTGTGTCGAGAACTGAGAGGATAACGAAGGAAGGGATATCGAGCACACAAGGCAATAGACAACACGACCTCCGCAATCCGCGGAAGGACTGTCGTCCGACGCGTTCACCCGCGCCCCACCATTTGCGGCGTTGAAACACGGGAGGGAGCCGCGGAGAGTGTGGCGCTCGCAAGAGGACGGACGCGGAGGGGAATAAACGAGAGTCGACGACGAGAAACCGGGAAAGGAAAGAGAGACGGAGTGAGAGGAAGAGAGGGAGAGAGGCCGGAAGACCTTCCGACGGTACCCACCACCGAGGAGATCCTGTATGTGGTAAGGACAGAGACATTGAAACGACGGCGCCATGGCCTGTTCGAGGGTGTGCGAGTGAGGGAGAGGGATGTTTTCGCAGGACCGTGAACAGTTACCACAGACGCCCCGACGACGTTCCTGGTTTGTCGGTAAGTACGATTCTCTGTTGCATTATTGAGAGTCGCGTGCCGTAGATGCTTTTGCTTGGCGCGCATTGATCCGCTCTCGCAATGTATGCGATAATATCGAAATATATTTTAAATTACAGAAAATTACGTCAAGTGATATACAATACTTTTATTTTCTAGTCAATAAAACATAAATAATTTCATAACAAATATATTTTTAAAAAGTTTTGGAACATATTATTTTCTTTGTGAGAATCTCTTTCGAAAATTCTCTAAAGAATCGAATATTATCTGCATTTTTTAATATAAACATTCGAAATACGAGTGTACGTTATATTGGGTGTATATAATTTTGTAGATGCAAACACATTTTGTTTACTTTGTAAATTGTTTTTTTAATTTGACTCTTTTTAACTTAACGTGTCACGTTACAGTCGGACATTATCTTTTTTTCAAAGATACCCGCCGTTAAGACGGACCTGATTCATAGGTTAGGGTTAGGTTAGGTGCGCAAAGTATCGAGAGAGTAGGGATGAGGGCGAGGGGGAAGGGCCGCGACCGCCGAGTCGAACGACCGGTCGAGTTTGCGCACTGGACAAAGTATAACCGGAGTACAAACTTTTTCCGTGTTATACTCGCGACTGCGGTAGGTCGGCTTTTAAAACCGCCGCGATTGTCCTTGAGACGAAAGTCAAATCAACACTGTATAAGGCATTCCAAAGAGAGGACGATTTTTTACTTCCTCCAAGACGTTCTGCACGCGCAATCACTTTGATCTCAACCCTCGACGATTTCTGTTCGTACATGTAGTATTTATATTTTTTTTTATTTAGTTCGAGATTTGTATCTTCAATAACAAGTTTGGAAAAATAAAGATCGCATGATCGTAAATACATTTGATATTTCTTATACTGAGGACAAAGAAATTTAAAAGTAATTCTCGTGAAAAAAGGATATATGGGCTCTTTCAACGATACAAACTTAATCATAAAACGATAGTGGCTTCAGACGTGCACACAAGTACACCATTCTTTCGCATGCGCTTGAAATGCGTTCGCCCGTTCAATTATGAAATTGCATTACTTCGGAGAAGTGTATAGAACAAGTAAACGGATTAAAGGAATGTAATGCACGCGCGGTTCGAGATTGTTATCGTCTTCTAGCTTTATGCGCAAACTTTGCACATCTATCTCGATGTATTTACCCAATCAAATGCTCGTGCAAATATTCGTCACGCTTTCGCTCTTTCCATTACAAAAAGTAATAATATCAAAATGTTAATAATTACAAACGCTGTCGCAACTTTGAATTAAATTGAAATTAAAAGAAAAAGCAATATTCTATGAAAATTATTGTATAAAATATAAATTTATTAACATCTGCAAAATATATAAAATATACTTTATACAATACATATTTTCTCTTTAATAATTAAAAAAAGTTTCTTTTTTTTTCTACAAACTATTTTATAATCTTATCAAATAATCTTATAATAAATATGTCTTATCGCATTATAGAGAGATAGTGAAAAAGAGAGAAAAGAAAACTTAAATAACTCATTTGGATGTCTATAAACAGCATAACACTTTATAATGCATCAGTTAATTTAGGTATTAGGCTATATAGTAACGTGTATCCTCTCCCTCCCTCGGGTTACGAGACGTGAAACTTTGTCTATAGTTAATCGAATCAACCAATCCCGCACTAGCTCGAGACGCCGAGCCGTGCTTTAATTAGTGCCCAACCTCGACCGCTTAATTCACTCGCAATTCGACCTTGAAGGTCTCGACATCTTGCCATTAACGCGAACATTCCGAGCTCTCTTTTGACTCGACGGTAAAACGTTCCTCAAAAAAAAAAGAAGAAAAAAATGTCCCTATTCTTCTCTTTTCTTCCGTTGAATTCCGCCGCTTTTGATTATGGAACACGCGGGCGTAGAAAGTACGCGACGAACTTGGATGGCGATGTAAAAATTTATATTCGCGCTCGTACTTATTTCGCCCTTATCTGGACGTCGACACGGTCGGGATAAGTGGCGACGAAAGAAAGAGGAAGATAAGAAAGAAGTAAGAGGGAAACGAAGATGGGAGGAAAGGAGAAAACGACGATGAGAAAGCACGAAGACGTGAAGTAAAAGAGTACAGCGAGAAGAAGAGAAAAGAAGGAGACGAAGTTGGAGAAACCCCGGCGAGCATTAAGACCAGATTGAAAATTGAATTATTAACGAGCGACCTGCCGTCCAGCATGTAAATCATACGGAAATATTACATTTTTTTTTGTCGCGGAAGAAATGTAGACTCGAACACGAAACATCGTCCAAAGTATCGCGAACAATATTCTTTTTCTCGTCTTCTGTTTTAATCGCGAATTCTTTTATGCTTCCCTCTCTTTCTTTCTTTGCCACGTGGTTGAGCAAGAGATTCCGTTTCTTGACTAATTTTGCACTGCGTCACTCGATATTGTTCCCACGAGACCCACTTGTGCAAAATGCCGCGTGCATTATGCAAACAGAGCGTTCATTTATTCTCATATTTTAGCGTACCAGGTCACATCGTTTGCCGAAATAAAATCTTGAATATTGTCGTAGAAAGCATAATTTTTAATGGTTATTATTATTTAAAATTTTTGTCAAATTCTAACACTGAAATTTTAACAATTTGAGATTCTGAGAGAGAAATTTCAATTTAAATTTATTTTAAATTAATTGGCGCAACAGATTTTTTTTTTTTACTATTTAATTGTATTTTTACAATTTTATCCGATAATCTCTGATATTAATTTGTATGCATGTGTCGAGTAACTTATTTAATCTGGAAAAATATCTCTCTCTCTCTCTCTCTCTCTTTTTTTTACTCGCTTACTCACTTATCAGAAATTCTCACGAAATAAATACTCCGTATGTATTTGCTGATATTTTGTAATGTTTATTCATTCGCTTGAATAGCTAATACATCGCGTTTAATTGACTAGCATATTATCTCTTCGTCAACGCGTACGGTATGTAATCTTTGTTTTTATAAAAGATATTCGCGGTTCCACGATCGTAACTTTCTCTCATCTTTTTTCTCTCCATAATTTTTGCGAAATTTCCCGCGCATTGTTAAAACGTGAAAATGTACCGCCGCAGCGATTCGCTCTCAATATCCCGCGAAAGGTATCCTACTATGACAGATGCGCCTGTACTGCAGCAAACCCGGACTACGAACCGGTCACGAACGGCTGGTGCCGCCAGGCGACACGTTGCGAACGCAGAACGTGGTGAATAGGAGACTCTGGAAAGTTATTCGGGACGCGCGTCACCATTACCACCGGTAACACGCCCCTTTTTTGTTCCGCTCGAATCAATTTCTTTTGCGAGACACGTTTGATACTTTTCGTTTTTTTTTTTTTTTTTGTAATTGCGTTACTTGTAACAATTGTAGATGTACACATTGACCCAGTGCTTCGTCCAAACGGGCACATAACGTAGCAGTGAAAAGCGCGCACATATTGCGATTACTTCTGTATTAACGCTTTGAACCACGAACGAATTATCGCGTGCACGAGAAGAGACGCAGGTGCGAGAAAAGAGTCGAACCAAAAACTTGTCTCTTATCTCTCTCTGTATGTGATACTTGTAGATTCCTTTTGCGCAACTTACTTATCAAACACGTACACGCGCGGATTTATGCGGTTGACAGTGGCTTATTGCGATAGAGACAGACGGCGTAATATATTATACCACAAGTAAGAGAACAAAAGTACTGCGTGAATATATCCCATTCTTGTTCCTATTTCCACGTACACGATGACGGTATGTCATAGTCAAAGCTTTACCTCTCTCTCTCTCTACTTCCCCCTTCACACTCTGGTATTAATAATAATCATGTGAATATTCACGGACAATTACATATGATTTGTTGGACGGCTATAATTTAAACCGTATGATACAAATATTTTGCATATAAATGGCGTCCGGCAATCGATAGTCGATTAAAGCGTATAACAATTTAAAACGCGTCCGTATGACACTGCGTTAGTCCCTGTTACATTTTTTTTTGTCGTTTCGGACAGATTGATGAAGTGTTTGTATTCGGATGCGATCGCAGGCGCGGCGCATAGATCGCGAACGAGTTGCAAAATTTTGGACGATGCGGACAGCCTGCGGCAAAGAGGAAAATCAAAAAGTTACACTTTTTTACGCACGTCATATTTTTTCGATGACATTCGCTCAATCCTTTTCAATAGAAGTTGTTATATTTTATTTCCGCGTTTTTATTTACTACGCGCGCGCTCTACGAATGCGTAAAACTCAATTAAAATGCGCATATGCCAAGATTATTAGATTTTTTTAACGTACTATGATGCAATACAAAGTAAAATTGCATTGTAACTTTATCTATTGTCGGAATATTTTTGTACTTTATGAAGAAATCTAAAAATATATAAATACGTCAAATATCAAAATGTGAAATCGTATCATTAATGATGATCTATGTATATGTATGTTTTTTTATACGTGTCGAATAAGTATTATTTGTGTAAAGTTGTCAACAAATTTAGAAAATTGAAACATAGCTCTAAATTGAATTGTTTTTTAATACGTTCTCTTACATTTTATTTAAAAACTATAAGCTTAAAAATATTAAGTACCAATTGTTTTTAGTGATATTCTTTCTACTTTAAATTAAACTATATTAATTTACAGGAAGTAGGAGCAACATATATATATATATATAAATAATAAAATGCTGTGTCGTTTTGTACGTATATTTACGCTTTTCTTGATGAATTACATGTATAAAAACTGCGAAAAGGTAATTATTTATTTTACACGAAGTAAGAAACTGTCGTTAAAAAAGACGTCGTTTGCGGAAAAGGATTATCTTTCACACGAACAAATTGCTTTTCTCGCTATGACAATAGTTTCGAGCAACCATGTACACTGTACAAAAAGTTCACACTATTATACAATATCACAATTCATAGCGGAAACATACAAAATTGTGTAAATTTACATGTAACATGTGTAAATTTCTGTTATAAATCGTACAACATTTACGTCTTTTTTCAAATTTCTTTTGCAGATTCTCGTGTAAAATATCCGTGTTTACACACTTTTGATTTTACAGTGCACGCATAACTGGAAACAAATAACATTTTGCATACCTACGTAACAAAAAACTAGATACATGAAAAGTCATCGGTTCGTTTGTTCACCATTCGAAAAACGATATTTTCGCTTTCGACAAATCGGGCAGTTAACAAACGCGTTATCAACTACGATTCTATCTAATTGAGCGAATGATGTAAAAAACAAAACGGCTCGTCACACATTGCGTGACAACATTGTGTCCGTGATAGGTTTGCCTGTAACTATGTATATCTATCACTTATACAAGAATGATGTAAGAATTGAGAATCGGAAAGAACGAATTGAAATAAGTATTGTAGCGAAAGATAATTTGGTAAAAGTTAATTTTGTTCAAACATAAGTGAATGTCGTATAATTACAGTGTTTTTACATATGTGTGCTTCTTCAAACAATTATCTGTTACATCCATTTTCGCTGACGCAAGTATACTCTTCGGACCTTGATAGAGTATAGTAAAATGTAGTTTTATTAATTGTGGAATATGTAAAATAACAGATAAAAACAAGTGTGCATATATATATATACACATATGTACACGCACAATAAGATAATTAAAATATAACAAACTTAAACAATAAACGCAGTTTGTTAAATTTGTTAAAATATAATAAATATAACAAACATATACGTACGCTGTAATTGTAAAGAGAAAGTGGATATGTATAGCAGCTTATTCCGGAATAAGTTTCACATTTTTACATCAATTAGTGTAATCGCAATCGCGCGAGACTAGAGCACAGTTACATATCTAATTAAATGAAAATAATAACTCACATAACGTAGACACGATAAAAGATAGTCAGACACAATAAAAGTTTACATACAAAAAACTTGACTGAACTACGTGTGAGTTTCCACAATTGAAGTTTAATCTGTTGTTTATTTTGTCGAAGGAATGTAATCGCATCTTTGAAGTTAACACTCAGAAACAATGCAACATCAGTCTATGTTGACAAATGATCTAATGCATTCAACAGTCGTATCGAGACAATTTTGTGTTTCGTTGCACGTCCTGATTAAATTTTGAAGTTCGAACCTTCGAAATTTCATCTGAGAATCGTCCATGCTTTTTTCTAAAGCACATGTATCCTTCTGTCTCTCTCTCCGAAGGTTTAATGATATTCTCATGTTTTTTTTTCTTTTTTCTTTTTATTCTTCTTTATTCGCCTCGTCATCCCTCGGTCATGTACAGCCGTCAAAATTAGGATTGCTGAAAAATTAATGCGAAACGTCATTCGATTCCACGTTATTTCAGCTCTCGTGGTCAACAATCGAACCGAAAACCGCAAATCGCATTGCGGGAATATTTTGCGCTCCGAGAAAATGAGGATATTTGAAGGATTTGGTAATAATCACGAATAGACCTTGAACAATGACTATCGATTGCGCGCGCCTTGTTGTGGTTAATAAACAACGGTTACATAATAATAATCCCGCGTCGAGATAATAATTTATTGTAACTCTCTAAGTAAAAGCAAATAGAAAAAAGTCATTATTTTTTTCCGCTTGAAAGTTTCGAATTGGAGCGACATTGATCAATTAATGACATTAATTATAACGTTAGATAAAATTAATTTTGATTTTCTATAATTAGAAAATTTTTATGTATTTCTATATTGAAATTTATATGTATCTGAACATTTTATTGCGCAGTTTTTGGCGACGAATACTTGACAAGTATGTCCACAATAGTGTGAAAAAATAAGAAATACACAAAGACTTGAGAATCGTGTTTTGATGTTTTCTCGACAACGTGCTCGTCGTCGTACCGCTTAAAGCAGTTTTTACGCCAAGTCAGTTTTTGTTCGAAGGACTTTCAGACTGTCATTATTCGGACAGCGAGTAAAATCGCACGCTTCTCGATCGCGAGTGAAATAAGAAGCGATAACTAAAATAAAAAGTGAAATACAATATTGCGTGTATATCGAGATGGATGGGTTTTTTTCTTAACTTTAGAGCTCGCACGCATCTACGATCAGGTAAACCGGCAACGTTAAAATCTTACAGTCTTTACTACGGGTAACATTTCGTAAAACCAGTTTTACTGAACTTCCTCGCCCACCTTGGCGATTTATCGTCGACCTTTACGGCCGCCCCTTACAAGATAATCCGCGTCATGCGAAAAGCTCTGATGCACGGCGTGGCCATGGCGTTTACATGATAAAGCCACCTAAGCCTCGTTTCTCTCGTATTTTAAAGGATCGTTTAAAGTTGCGAGAAAATGGCCGTTAATTTTCGCCGAAACGTCGTTAACGAGAATTATTGCTGATACGAGACGTGATACCCTGTTATGCGCGAAATTCGCATGCGTTTTCTACTTTATTGTACTGTTAGTGCATATAAAACAGAGAATTCCCTCTGTGAAATGTTCTTGAATGTAGTTATAATTCATGTTTAGATGCTATAAAATTACATCAAATATTGAAATCTGTGTGTAGACTGTCTTAATATTATTATTGGATATTGTATTATCTCTAATAAGTAAACAATGTACTATGCGTTAGCACACAATTTTTATTTTTATCAGATCTTAATTTTATTGATATTCCTTAAGTACTTTACCGATAATATCTTAGATAACAGTTCTTTTTTTACATCATCCAAAACACACACACATAAAGATAAATATCTTCCTTATTTCACGTGTATATGTAAAATATTTCTCGCGATTGATTTTTTTGCGTTGAAACTTGACTACATATAGATACATAAAGATATAAGAAATTTCACAACAATTTCGCTCAACAAAAATAGTCGTGACACCGGTAATGAATATTCAAGAAATGCGATTTGCGGCAGTGTGGTATATATAATATATTAGAAAAAACCTATATTTCTCTCTGTCTGTATGTAATGTTTAAAATATTCATGATTTATCATATCTAATATACTGTGTTTTCGTATCATATTAATACGACAAAAATTTTTGAACTTTATGTACATGAGTAACTTATTTATGAGTAACTTATTTAGAGTAAAAAAAAGAACGAGAGAGAGAGAGAGAGAAAGAGAGCAAGTTGCGTGTCACGAGCCCTCTTTATCAATCATATATTCGTCTCACCTCCGTCTTGTGGGTTTCCACGCTGTTGAGCGCGACCGTTTCGTCGGGAGCAGGCTCTTCGTCCTCAACGTTGTCATCAGAGACGCCGAAAATAGTTCTGTACGCGAACGCGGAAATCAGGGCACCGCCGATCGGACCAAACCAGTATATCCAGTGATGCTCCCACTGGTTGTTCCAAATTGCCGGTGCGAACGACCTCGCTGGATTCATGCTACAGCCGGTGTAAGGCCCAACCGTAATTGCCAACACGGTTACCGTGAAGCCGAACTTGATCGGCACCGAATCCCCGTTTTTCTCATTCCTCGGATCCCAGACGGAGCACACCACCATCATGAGAATTGCAGTTGCGATACCCTCGACGAGCAAGCCTTGAATCGCAGAGAGTTCGGTATGAATATTAGTCACGCAGAATATATCGGATTTTTCGGACGTGGTGGATGTCAAGTAATGCTGCGGCGTCACTACCTGTAAAAACGGTCGAATGACAGAAACGATCGATGTCGATTAAATTGGGCGAGAAGGTTTCTTCTTTCAAGATTGGTTTCGTAGATACACAGTCAATATTGAATTATTGACGTGAAAAGCACGAAATTGTATGAATTTTTGTTATGCGATTTACATTGAAATCGCATCATGCAATTTACATCAAAACAAACTAAGTTTTTCGTGAGTTATCATCAGTATTTGATGGTAGATAGATTGATAAAAATGTTTCGAGAAAGTCCGTTTTTTTTTTTTTTTTTATTCATACGTCGTATATTTTCACTATTTCCAGAGCAAAAATAGATCTTGCCAATTGATCAGGATGAACGGATATTTATTAATCTGTCAAAACTGAAGAATTTTTTCGGTGCGTGTTTGAGTAATTTATTCGGAAAAAAATTACTAGTTTATTTCAATGTGAACTGAAAGACTAAAATTCATATAAATTTTCCGTTTTTTGACGTCATAATTCAATATAGCTGCAACAAGTGCCCGCACAGGAGCATTAATAAAATTAAAATTGTTATGTTACATTTTTGTTGATTATAAAATGTATTGAGCCTGTGTGTGTTCGTGCTGAGTACATTTTTCGCGATTAATACATTCAAAAGACCATATAGTTGATTAAGAGAAAGAGTCGATTATTTTTTTACTTTGTACGCTCGTGTTATCTGAGATTGAGCTCGCCGTTCTCGGATGTGACGAGGCTTTTTTCTGATTAACGCGAGCATTAATTATTAAACGGATTGCATATATGCTTCTGAATTATCAATAAAGCAGAGCATTTCTCTTTCTTTATCCATGTCTTAAAAAATATAAACCGACAAGATTACCATTTTATTTCTGTCTTGCTATATAACTTCGTGATTACTTTTGGTCATACTTATTCGCTCTCTCAATTTCGCTGTTATTTAAATATATGTCACTGAATTTTAAATCTTTAATGAAATCCACATTTACATATCTCTATTGCTCGACAAAAGTCGCTATATATGCATGAATATGAAAAATGTTTTTGTTTTTGTGTCAATACGTATCTATATACTTGAACGCGTATACTGCATTATTTCGTAATACACGCTTCTAAACTTATACATTTGCATTATTTCTTACATATAATAATTAGAAAAAATAATAATTAGAAAAATAAGTTTCTAAAAAAATAAAATTAGATTTTTATAATTTGTACAATTTATATATATGAGATAAATATTTTTATTTTTTTAGATTTGTTTTTTATATACCAACCTTTAGCATACCGTAACCTAAAATAGCGCCCATCATCTGCGACACAAAATAAATTAAAGCTTCGAAAAGGGTCTTCTTTCCGAGAACGACAGATCCTACAGTGACTGCTGGATTAATATGGGCGCTGCTGATGTGGCCAATGCACTGAAAACGACAAAATTCAAGAGAATTGTTTAATTATCGATGGGCGCTCTAATTCTAACAGCTATATTTAACAGCGCGCTGCTCGTAACAAATTATACAAAATTATACAAAATTGCCGCGGCGCGGATACAAATTACGAGATAAATAGGAAGGTAATGAAATGCACGTTCTAACGCACGAAATGTTATGCGTTAGAAAAATTTTTGAGCATTTGCTAACGAACCGCGGTACGATTTTGCTGTATATTTTGCTGCGAGTGAAAGCCAGAGAACTAAATGCAATAAAATTCGTTTTTAGTGCAATATCGTAATTATTGAAACGTTTTAAATCAGTGTTCGAATTTATTTGCAACTGCCCCTAAAGCGCTACGCCGTTTCGCATTCCCTTCACCCCACTTATCACAATGATGATCCCCGCGTCGGTCAACGATCACCATCGATAGTGGAATACACTCAGGTACGGCACTGCGCGCGCACTACCATTAATGACGAAACGATAATCGTCGCTGAAATAAGTGGAGTGAAAGAAAAGCAACTTGAGTAGCACTCAGAAAACTTTTTTGACATTGGCAAGTAAATTCGAGTATTTTAAACAAATCTATCTTAATCTTAATTAGGAAGAAACAGGATTCGTGACTATAATTGTTTTATAGGATCTATATAATACATAAGATGTAATTATTAACGCGCGCGCAAAAAATAAGATCGATTATAAAATTACAAATTCGATCACTTTGACTTTATAAAACTTTTTACTATTTATAAACACACACACACACACACACACACACACACAGAAATGTAGGCGTCGCATCGGTTGCTGCAGTATTTTGTCACATTTTTTGATAGAAGAGATCCTGATAATTTTTATCAGAGTGTAGCTCAGTAAGATAATAATAATATTCTCGGTTATCTCTCTCTACTGACCTGGATCACAACCATAACGGCCAAACCGAAGGCTATCGCTATTTGTAGATGAAAAGTACGGACGCCGAGGCTACCGACACAACCCATGCATCCCAGAAATACCAGCATGGATGTACCAATCAGCTCCGCCAATCCGGTCAGGAGAGTATTCTTCATAGTGCCCTCGGTTTGTACCCATCGCTTCAATCCTATAGAAAATGTTTTTTTTTGTTAAAAAAACAAACAAACACTTTCTTAGGTGTGTGTTCATCAAAACTAAGTAACGGGGAGATACATAAAACAAATTGAAATAGAAATATTTAATTGTTTTTTTGCTTCTCATTCTTTCAGTTTTATACTTTCACTCTTTAGTATCGGAAAAAGTGCTCTTTTCAGACTTTTCACACATCTCACAAAATATTTAAGAAATTAATAGACCGCATATGTGTGGAAATATTCTTGTCACAATATTGCCGTGTGTTCTCGTCACTGTTGCACTGTTCATAACTATTTCAAGACGAATTAGTTTCTTTACGCGAGACAGCCTCGTACAATACGCCACGTGTAATGATAAAATTAAAGATAACGTGATTTTCAACGCGATCGCTTCACTTGCCTCTTTCTTTGCGTCGATTTCGCCACATTTTCCACACCGTGTCGACGCGCGAATAAACGTGCACGGCTCACGACCAGCTCGTACGGAATAAGTACGTCGCTTTCGTGAGAGAGAGGCAAAGACATTGTGACGTATCACCAACACTCGACAAAGTTAAGGCAGACCGCACGTGCAACGTACGCGATATATCGAAGTACTGTACACTAGTAGAATTGTTTATAGAAGAAAAACGTAGCTATACTCAATGATATAATATGCGTACAAACTGGCGTCACTTGGCGTCATTCAAGCGGAAACAAGATAATTAATTCTCCTGATTATGTTGCCAGTAGTTACACACCGTATCGTACAAATTTACATCAAATGTCGCGCTATACACTCGAGAAATCTACCGCGATTATATAAAAAAGAGACATATTTGTTTCTTAAGAAATATCTTTTTCAAAAAGAACAAAAGAAAGTATATATAGGATTTTTTTAAGCATGTACATGTTTTTTGTCAATTCAAAATTTAAAAGATGTTAAATATTGTAATACTGTAAAGTGTGTTTGTATTATCTGTATTTTTTATGCGTGCATATATATATATATATATATATATATATATATATATATATATATATATATGCATGTATATATAATCGGTTTTTTCAAAATATCAAACGTATAAATGCTTTTTTCTTGAAAAAAACTTGCCAAGTGATGTTACATGTAGTGGTAATAAAGATGCAAATAAATTCCTTTAAGTTATAAAAAAACGAGTTCTTATCGCGTATGTATACTTAGTGCGATTAACCAGTCGCGAGATTATTTGCGCAATTTGTGATGTAAGACGTCGTTGTAATTTGGTATTAACTTCTTTTGCGATGATATATTATATTGTCACATAGTACTGTCACATATTTGATACTATCATGCGCGCAACGCGTTTGTTTCTCAATCTTGTAATATTAATTTTGCTCTTATAATCTATAGAATTCAAGTTTGAAATCTTCTCTCTCTTTATTCATCTCAGATATACTTTTCAACAAGACTATCCACGCGTAAGGTGAAAGTAATACAGCGACCGCGACAGCGATGCCAGTGGTTCACTACACAGAAAATGCCTCCATGATACTGTAGTCGACAAAATTACTTGATAATAATTTTATATGTTTATTAACACACACACATCAATAGAAAAAAAAAACACACTTTTGAAAGAAGAGTAACGAGAATTTTGTTGCGTAAAATTCACGCATAATCGTTTTTACATTTCGGAAAGAAATATTTTTCTTTGATAAATAAGCACATTTTATCTTTCAATAATTACAAGTTGGTTCGCAATTTTATTGTAAATAATTGTGTTTGATTCTTATACATTATCACAATTGTCATCGATCGACATAAATTACTTATTATTCGATTTTTTATGTTGAAAGATAGGTATAATAGGTTTTTTCTTCAAGGTAAACCACTTTGTGTCAAGGCTATTTAAACAAGACACATGTATAGCACATGGCTCACAACCAACAGATGTATTTATAGTTCTCAATTTCTTACTTAGCATAAGAACAATTTGTTACTTACAGTTTAAATTCTGCGGTTGCTCGATATTTGTTATATACACAGGTGAATGAAGCAGCTGGTGCACATGAACGAATCTCGATAGAATCGTGTTATTTTTATAATCCTTTAAATCCCGCAACTTGCGGTTGAATGCGGTCTTCGATACGCGTGAGTTTGGGTTAGAATTAATAATTAAATACTTAAATAATTTTTATTGTTGTGTCTCGTATCGCGAAATAAATAAAATCTTGTTTGTTTCTGATCGATTGTCAGTACCAACGTCATGAACCTTCCTCATAATGAAGATCGACGCCACATGAACGTGACGCGGTGCGCAAGAAAAAGAAGAAGAAGAAAAGCCGCAGCTTCGTCATCATTTCGAAACATTGTCGCGCTTCTAATCACCGTTCAAACGAACGATCGTCCACCCCAGCCTAACGAAGCTTTAATCCACGATTTGCATACAATCGGCTAATTTCGCGGGAATGCTGCCAAGAGATTATGCGGTAATTAGTCGGCATAATTTACCTATTAGACCGATAAACGCCGTTATATATACACGCGAGCGTAAGTTAAACGTTAATCGCGAACGTATATTAATTGATTAATGATCCGTGACATACTACGACGTTAAGTTGATATAATTGCTTTGTCTGCTCTCGAGAATCGATTATCGCCGTATTTAATGAGCCGAACGTCTTCTCTTTCAACAAGGACAATTGTCTTTATTTTTCGCCATTTTCTAATGAACTTCGGTCCCGAAGGAAGATCTTTTAAAAAGACGCATTGTTTCTTCTCTTCTAAAATATTGATTCACGCAAAACTAAATCACTTTGAGACACTACAGTAAAAACTTAATCAACAATATAAACACATTATTTTCCCAAAAGTTGTGACGCGTTAAAAAAAAATGAAGGTATAGTAATTTTAGATTGAATTAAAATTGACGTGTGTGTACGTGTGCAGAGAAACCGGCGATAAATATCTTTGTACTTTACACGTGTGTAAAACTTGTGCGTACAGTTTTTTATGTAGTACAGTAGTAAGTGCGGAATAATTTTACAACTTGAGCGTGTATCGTATGATATTATGTTTGGTTTTCATATAAGATGAGCGATAAAGACCAGCAGTATAAGCTAACCGATAGCAACGAGTTGAAAGTCTAATCGTATGTAAATTTACTTTAAATATATATGGTATGCGTTTAAATGAGTGCCGCAATGTTTTATCATTGCTGTTCGGCGGATATAACAATAACTGTAGTTAATAATTGCAAAACGATGACATCAATTCCAATTTATCTTGTAGTAGTTACATATATAAACGTATATGTTTATTATTAGTTATGACTATATGTTTATATACACAACTACTACATAAGATTTTTCGAAATTGACGTCACTGTTTTTTAACTCTCACGACTGAGTTGTGAATGTTAGCTATAGAATCTCGTTATAATGATAAATATGTAAAGATAAGAACAACACACCATGTACAAGATGCAGTGAGAAATGCAAGAGTTACGCAAAAGAGGTTAAAAGTTATTATCTAATCTCGGATGATACGCGAGATTTTTTGCTTTGTGCTTCGAAGAAAAAAAAATTGCTTCGCGAAGGAACTTCTCGAAACTAGCTGATTATGTAAGAGCATTAAATCTCTGTTAACGTAAGAATTGCGAGAAAAGCCGAAGAAAAAAAGAAAAACGTTAAATTAATATACGCTAGCTGAAGTCATACATAAAGTCGACTTCCGTATCTAAATTGTTTTGCAGTAGTTTTTTTTACCACTCAATTTGCTTTTTCTTTGACGCAGTCTCTCGTTTTTCTGTGATAAATTCGATCTTCAGTGTTTAATGTAGAACAAGTAATTTTCCACCCCTTGTTATAACACTTGCAAAATTAATATCGACGCAATTCTCGTTTTATTTGCATCGGTATCACCAAGTGAAGCTGCATAATAACGCATTGTATTTCGAATAATGTCACAGAAAAATTTTCCTGTCAGATGTGATTAATTTGAACTCGTTAATCTTCTTTCAGATTTATTTTATGCATTAGAATTGTTAATGTGCGAGAATAACAATAAAACAAATAAACTAAAAAACCATAACAAATAATAGATAGTGAATAAGCGCACAGTAGTAAGTGCGGAACAATTTTACAACTTGAGCGTGTATCGTATGATATTATGTTTGGTTTCCATATAAGAGGAGCGATAAAGACCAGCAGTATAAGCTAACCGATAGCAACGAGTTGAAAGTCTAATCGTATGACGACCGCTGAATAAATATACACGCTAAATAATATTTTGCTGTTGAAATATGTTCGGTAAATACATAAAGTCTTTGTAAATAGCGATGTTCGTACATCTGAATCAGATCAGAATAAAAACTAAATTCTGTTCATCATATCTCATCGCGCAAAAACTTTATACAATTTTGATTATATCTGTTAAAACTTCTTGCGCCACATCGTACTGATAATATTAATCGAGTTATTTTCGAGTATTTTAAAGTTCAAAATCATGACTTTATTAATGGAATTTTAATGTATTGCAATAAGATTAGATTAACATTTATTATTTGCAAAAAAATACTTAAATATTCTTAAGAAAATATTTTTAATCGCTAAATAATATATGTTAAATAAATATAGTAATAAAAAAATTAATTATATTAGTAAATATAAGGTTTATTTTTCTCTGCGTGAAAATAAAATAATTCTGTATTAATGTTTTTTTGTCAATATGAAATAGAAAATAAAACTTTTATAAGTTCAACATTCAATCATTAATGGGTAGGTAGGTTGGAAAAGTACAGTGGATTTTATTATCACAGCCGATTGCGACAAAAAGACTGATCAATTAATATTGATAGATAATTACTAAAGATTAAAACGGAAAAAGAGTTTATTTTTATGACATAACATAAAACCAAGAAAATTCTTCGAAAGTTCATAATTTAAACAATTTAAATGTTATTTTGAGAATTTGTAAGAGTTCGACGCTGACTAATGCAAAATATTGCCGATATATAAATTACATATTTATTTTAATCGAATTAAATGTAACTAACAAACATCCTTAAAAACATGTAATAATTTTTTCTTACACACTTTGCGCTAGATTCTAAATTAATAAGTCTAAAGATTCTTTATTAATTGCTAAATTAATAAGCTGTTATTTTTAATTAAAGTTGTTTCTGTTTATGAATTTTATGTTTTTCTTATATCGATCAAATAAACATCCATTCTTTAATTTCTTCGTAACAATAAGCGGACGTATAAGAAAAATTGTATTTTGAGGCACAATACTTAGTAGAAGTGTGCTTGAGGCGTAAGCGTTCTTCTGCTGTTGATATCAACGAAACAATCTCTCATAACTCGCGCATGTGAATAAAAATAGTATGTATATTTAAGCAGAATAAAGAGGAAATCCTTGAAGTTATACAATTATACATGAAGTTATAGATATGCAGCAATTTTAAAACGGAAGTTTCGCACAGAATGGTTTCTATCTCATAACATCAATGAACAAAATTAAAATTTAACGTATTAGAAAATCTACGTTGAAACTGAATTTTAACAAATTTTAATTTATTTATATATATATTTTATAATTAATTTATATAAAAGTGATTTATAAAAGTAAGTTTTTGACACATAGAAACGTGTTCTGTTTCAATCTGTTGTAAATAAATTAAATTAAAATGTATATTCTATTGATATTTTATCGAACATTGTTGCTGCTTCTGATGAGAATATCTGAAGATAAACTTTGATCAGCTGATCATTGAACGTTTCTGTGAAAAATATATTGATAACGAGCATCAATAACGTCATATTTAAAATTAATCAAAATTTTTGGTTCATCGATTATTGTCTTTGTGATAATTAGATTTTTCTGACTCGTTCATTTTTGCTTATGTTCTGTAATTGTTTGACGCACTTAAATTCGAAAAATATCGTTTATGTTATATTATTATAATACTTTGTGCGTGTACTTAATCTTAAAAATAATAGTAGCTTAATGTTAATTTAACGAGATTAAAATTTGGAAAGTAAAAGTAGAAACTCTATTTTAGTAACTCTATTTTAGTATTCTAGGTTAAGATCGTTGAGTTGCTATTACGGAATCATTTACTCAAGAACTACAAAGTTTTCTTTTCCATTGACAATCAAACATAAAACAAACATGTGGAGCAAATCAATATATCATAGTAGAAAGGGAAGTTTTATTCGCATAAAATTTATTCTAAAATTTATTCGACGACAGTTATATTACACGAATTACAAATGTTACAAACAGCTACGTAAACAGCTTTATTCGCAGTTTTCTGATTGTACTTATTGAATTATTATTTACATATTACATTTACTATGCTTGTCTCCGTATTTATTAATAATTCATTAAAATGTATGCTTACATTAATTTTTCATTATTTAATAATTTGTTAAAATGTATGCTTATATTAATTTTTTATCATAAATAAGAAAAAAATTCTTATCTCTAATATTATATCGTTGTAATGATACCGTCAATCTTTTCGAGTCAAAGAGTACTTCAAAAACGTACTCCATGTTGAATTTATATTTCGAACCATACTGCCTGTTACAACTGTGTTATAATGATTGTCGTACGAAAAATAAGACGCTTCTGACGAACATTGTGAAGGATGATCTGAGAAAAGTTTCTTACCTGCGCGAAAATCGTCTGCCGGCATGTCGGAATGTAAAGTTAATGCGAGTCACAACACCACAAGCACAAACGTCTCGGACTTTTTAATGACGAAGAAGCGACTGGAGGGAGAGAGCGAGAAATTTTGACACACTCCGGCGGCGTCTCTGTGTGAGAATGAGAATGATCGTAACTCGATTCTATCTGCAGAGGATACCGCGATCTGGTCTCTTTCTCAGACGATATAACGTCACTAATACGCGCGCCGTACTCCCTACTTATCACTACTTGCTTGTAAAACCAGGCGGGGATGCTAATTTCAGGCGCTCTCGCGGAGAACACCGATTGTTGACCGTGTCCGCTGTAAATCGATTATTTTATCATTACCGTTGCTCAATTATTTGATCGCAATCTATAACGCACAAATCGTTCGATATTGCAACAACGAGAGTGCAATGAACTTCTTAATCAGACAAATAAAAGAGATAAGTTTTCTGACAATTTATCTTCTACACACAGTTTTGTATATTCTTCTGATATATCGCGCGAGATTTATTCGGGAAGTCGTGATCGACTATACAATTAAAAATATAAATACGATTCTCAGTCAAAAGATATTTTTTTCTCAATTTCTTCAAATTATCAAGATTAATAATTTTTGTATATTCAAAATGCGAATTAATTATTCAAAGCGTAATTTGCACCTATACAACATACTCCCGTGTAGTAATGAGAAGCGATCTGAATTATACGCGTGCGACCTTATTCACCATCGTTCTTGCGCGAACAAAGCTCGGCGCGAATTCCGGGATCAAAATCTACCGGAGCAATTTCGCACTCGGGTCTTTAAAGTTATTGTTATCTATATACGAGAGCGAGGAGAAGCGAATATAAGGGGGAGAGTTCGCGCGCGTGTATCTTATATTTACATATACATTAAACCGAGGAACGTAATTGCAATCGCGCGCGCACACACACACACACGCGCGCGCGTATTCGCACTCACGTTCTCGCGCAAGTGTACCGACGTGTACATATCGTGAGTACAATTAAAACTTTGGCGCGACCGACGGCGATGGAGGTAATTTCCTGAATTCGCTGAGACTAATTCCGTTATTTCGAATTTCGTCGCAGCCAGAGATAAGAGAAGGGACAGATCGTATTATGTTCGATGCTCTCTCTGCGAGGGAGACCTCGATGTCGGCTTTAATGAGCTGCAATCTCGTGGTACATATACGCGATACATAATGACGATCGAATTTAGCGAAATTGCGCGTACGAACAAATCGAGTCCTTTTTCTCTCTCTCTTTCTCTTTCTCTTTCTTTCTAATTCATAAATTCTTGCTAATAATTGACAAAACCGCGCGCGAATTGACGATATAGAGAGATTTCTTTTTCTACACGCTGCGTTCGATGTTTAAAAAATAAAAAACAGAGAAATAAAAATCGAACTCTGTGTGTGAGTAAGTTGACATTTAAAATTACATAACTCCTGAACAAATCTACAACCGCGCGCTGTTCTGAAACTTCATTTTACAACGAGCGTAGACAGACTTCCTGCAAAAGTGTTAGCGGCAAAATTACGTGGAGGACAATTTTAATTTAATTTAGTTATTTAATTATTTTTGCGGTTTTGCGCTTCGCGTAGCTCGAACCGCTGTCAAATGTGTATACTTGACAGTTTAGGATAAATGTACTATAAAACAGAGTGTGATACGTAAAATCAGTACAAACAAAAATTCAAATTGAAATCAATATTTAAACGACGTATTACTCTTTGTTTTAACGTAAAATGTTGAAAAACACTGATACATAAATTTATATATTCATGTATTTATAAACTTACATATATTTACATAGTGTTTTTCGTTCTCACAGTAATATATTACTATTTTCCGTATACTTAAACAATGTAAAATGTTTTTTTTTATATATTTATTTTAAAAAAACATAATTTCTCTTTAATTTACATTTAACATTTGTGCTTCTAAGAATTTGTGCATTTTTCTGCGGTGGTTTTGCCAAGCCGTGAAGTGCGTGAAAAAAACTACTTATACGACAACAAACAGTATATTAAATATGTGACAATTAGAGATCTTATACCTTTTGCATCAAAGCAACCACATAAAATATGTCATGACATCTTAATTAATGTTTTTTATATACGTCGCATATTGTTTGTACAAAAATAATTTGTCAGATCAGTCGAGAAGTTCTCGTCGCGCGCAACACTCGCAATACCCTTTCAGTTCACAAGATCTGCAAATGAGACGTTTCCGAGAACCTCGGAAGTAAAAATTCGTTAAAATGTTCGAAACCTGTGTCCGACCTGCTTCTACTACCCTCTCCGCACGGGGAGTTTCCGCCGGAACTTTTGCAACGTCCTCTTTTTCAGACGAGGAAAATACCAGCGCGATCAGAATTTCTCGTTCAATTTGTGAACCACCGACAACTGGAATGTAATTTCGTTCGCTGAAACATAAAACGTGCGATGTTAGCCCGATTTGTGGATTATTCCTGCGTATTACGAAGTGACGTTACCCGAAAATATCGAGAAAAAAGGAATATTTGAGAGAATAAAATGATGAGAATGGAACGGTCGGGGAAAAAAAATCATAGAAACGGTTTACGGAAAACCGAGTGACAAGTTCGCGACACTTCTACGAGAAAAACAATTAGTGAATTTTTTTAGACAAGGTAAACGTTTATATTTATACGTGTCAATTGACACTCACACTTGCTTTGTATTTTACTACTTGGTATATGTGCGTATTATGTTTGTGACTTTTCGAATGATTTGTGTGTCAGAAAAAAATTTACTCAAGATAATGCAAATTTGATAAAAATTTCTCATTCAAATTACCTCATCTTTTATGAATGTTTGTGTGATTGATAACGCGTTCGCTCGTATAAAAGTAACTTAACATCTAAATTTAAAGAAAAACGTACGTATGATCCTTTCTACGTCTCGATGCCGTTAAAAGTTTCTATGTCTTGCGTAGTATCCTCTTTTTCTTTCGTAACCGGCAAAAATAAACATCGATAAATCAAAGATGCAACTACTGATCCTCCAATCGGTCCCACCCAGTATATCCAATGGTTCTTCCAGGAATTGTTCCAAATCGCCGGTCCGATTGATCTGGCGGGATTCATACTGCAGCCGGTGTAAGGGGCAAAAGCGAGAGAGAGTGCCATAACGCAAAATCCGAATCGCAACGACGTTGAATCGGTATTCTTCGCGTTCCGCGAGTCCCAAATTCCGTAAGTGAAGAAAACGAGTATTCCCGTAGCCAGAGCCTCGACTGCGAATCCACGAGCTTCGGACAGATTACCAATATCTGTCGTGCAAAAACTACTGTTTGTCTGATTATCGTTATATAAATTATTCTCCGGTGTTACCATCTAAAATTAGAATTAATAATTATAACGTCGATCTGACTCGGATCAATTGCTAGAATCAAATAATTATAATCTGATAATAATTTGACATATAATAGTATCTGATAATAACTTGACGTTTCTGTTGAAACTTAAATCAAATGACTTTTGCAATCTGTGAATATAATGAGCGTATGAGCTTTTAATGACCTTTAGCAAACCGTAGCCTGTCACACTGCCTAAACATTGTGCGATAATGTAGAGAAAAGCCATTGGGAGGGATTTGTTGCCGAAAATCACTGAGGCCACTGTAATGGCTGGATTAATGTGAGCGCCGCTGATATGGCCAACACACTGAAAAAAGCAAGCAGCATTCGATCGACGATAAGACCTGATAAGCCTGCTGGCTCTCGGTGCTTGAATCACAGTTTGTTTTAGCAGACTCGTTTTATACATTTATATGTACATACTTACATATATATACATATACACAAATAGTACATATTATTAAAATATAAAATATACATATATATACATATATATATATAAAATGCACGAAATATAATAAAATAGAAGTTTTCCTCAATGTGACATATATATATGTACATTGTAAAAATTATTATCGTAATATTGTTTGCTATTAGCTTAGTTTTATTACATAATTATATAACTTTACAACGTGTGTATGAATTGACGTAATTTTATACATTTTTATTGTTAACAACATTTACTTTTATATTTTTGTGTACAATTACACAAGCTTTTACAGTAAATAATAATTAACTGCAAATAAATCCCATCTACTCCATTAAAGTATTATAGATTAATTGCCAAATGATATGTGTGTGTATATGTGTGATCTATATACCTGTATGGCAATCATGATACCCATTCCACCAGCAACAGCGGTCTGTAAATGCGACGGACTCTTTTCCGTAATACCGCCTACACTCGCTGTACATCCAATAAGTACCAGAATTGCCGTTCCAATCAGTTCTCCCAGAGCGAGCAGGAGCTTATCCGTCATCGTGCCGTTCTCTTCTATGTGGAGAAGTTGTTTCGACCCTAAAAGATGCGAACCAACACTTTTTTACACATAAAAATTTATAAATATATATTATATATATATATTTTAACACATTACAAATTCAAGTGCAATATCAAATTTATCAATATATAACGGCGCTTATCGATGATACCTTGTACGCGAAATAGCGAACAGATGTATCATGTCAATACATCTGTTGTGCATACACATTCTTCGTGACTTTAACTTTGTTTATTGAAAAGTAAACGTAGTACGATCGTTTCGTAGTAATTTTCGATGAAGAACACGCACGTAGACACGTTTATTTGCTACATGTATGTAATATAGATCATATGAGGAAAAAAAAGACCGTACCTATGAGGAAAAAAGTGATATATCTTCATAATTTATAGCGAGTTATAAATTAGAAGATTAAAATTCGAAAGCGACGCGTTTTCGTGTAACATTGCATCGAAGCAAAAAATTGCACAATTGATTCGCAAAATGTTGTGACAAAGAAAAATAAAATGCATCTTTGCGCATTGCAACTTTATAGAGAACGACCCCTTGAGTACATCATCTCTGTGCTTTTGTGAAAAAGTATGAAAACTTGCGAAACTCTCATTACTGACTCGGTCTTATACACGTGGTGAGCCGGCCGGGCGCAGCGGTATTTAATTAAAAGGCAACTACCGCACAAACGAACAGTCCAACGAAGACGTATACTTTTATTTTCACGCATTAAACGAACCGAAGGCAACTACTGAATGTATAATCGAGAGAAGTCAAGAGGCAAAAGTTCACCAGTGCTGAATGTGTAACACGGCGAAGCTTCGTTTTCAAAGATGGATAATGCATATAGTGACAAATACACCAACACATACCCAGAGGCCGCGCGTATTCAAGTCGCCAACCGTGCCTCTGTGTACACACAGAGGCGGTTTCCCTTGGAATCATTGGTGCACGAATGAAAAGAGGCAAGAACATGATTCAACAGAATTCTGTATCTCTCAAGCATATTTTCACTGCATTCCGGAGCACAAGTGCGCCTGAAAGTGCGCGATGAAGTGACAAGATTATATTTTACTTCTTGATAATCCGATATTTATTACGCTGCATTGACATCCTAGTTTGTTAAAAATTGTAAATATTATTTAAAAAGTGTAGAAAATTCGTTAAATTAACGAGAACGCATTTGCAAAAAAGAAACAAAAATTCAAATGCACAAAATAAATATGAAGATAATCTTTTTTCGACTTTTATCAAAAGCGCGCGTACACATACATATGTAGAAACCTTTTTCTTGAAACCTCTGTATTCAACATTTACGCTGTTTTTGTGCCGAGTATTTATTTAATAAAATGTTGAATTGTTCTTTAATGAATTCTGAAAGTACAATAGTAGTTCGCGCGGGGAAGAAGCGTTTTTGAATCGACAGGTAGGATAACTGGGAGTGCCACTTCGCTGTAAACTTTCGAGTAGAAACTTTGTTCGCTCCACGTCGAATGCGATTACTACTGATGTAAACCCAGAGAGAAGGTACGGGTCAATGTTGAATTTGCATGAAAGCATCGCTAAAGTTATATGTACATCGAGGGTCGATGTTCAAGCAGGCGCGTTATTAATTTTCTATAGATTACAGAATATCGACCGTTATCTCTATTTTTTTTTCCTGAGGTGGCAATCATAGTTGTAGTCCTGCTTGTGTCCGTGAAATTTTCTAATGTAATTCTCGCGAGTGCTCGCACGTGAAATTTTCACAGAGGTGTTTTGAAATTTTCGCCGGGGAAGACCGAAAGTTGAACGAAATTACAGTTCACGGCAACTAAATTACAGTACGCCCTTTGAACAAGCTTGCCAGTCGTAGCACCCATTTTCGCATTATTTCGCCATGCAACTTCCATTTATTTCGTTCTCTGCAAATTTTAATCCAACTTTGTAAAATGCAAGGATTAAGTCACATTTTTTATCAGCAAAGAATTTGCGCATTTTTTGTTTATTTTTTTTTTTTTCTTTGAAACGCGCGCACAATATTTTAATATTAATGCGACGCAACGTCATCAATTATTAAGTGTTGGGCAACAATCTCGGATCGACATCTCGGGCGCCAATGAAAAACATATTAGTGATAACTAAGCAATCTCAAAAGTCACAAGAGTCACGGCTTGATGACATTTGCTCTTGTCATGAAATACACGCTGGGAATTTTGCAATTACATTTAAAATTTTACACGATGGTTTTCGAAATTTCAAAGGTTTTTAAATTGTAAAACATAGATAAGAATAGTTTTCGCGATTAATCTGTTTGATGCGCGTAACAGAACAGTAATTCTTTTCAATTACAGCGTTCTATTTTCTTTCTCCTTTTCGCAATTATCAGAGTGTAAAAAGATATCGCTTTATGTAACTGTAAATCTTGGAGCAAA